ATCCTGGTTCAACATTTCGAACCCATGTCCCTGAAATGTAGGTGCAGGTGGAAACATGTGGGGTTCAGTATTGATGGGGGTGGGCTCCTCACCATTTCAGTGGGGCTTGGGAAACAGAAGGAAAGGCCTCCTCTCCTGCTGTCATCTGCCATGGGAACCCCAAACACATGGACCCTGAAATAGAGGAACAAAAGAAGTCAGAAGGAGGAAGGACATAATATCTGCCGTGGCTGGTCCTTTCAGGATCCCCTCCCCCAATTTTGACACAGCCTGAGACACAGGCCTCTGACTGAGGATCCCATCTGACTGAGGAGGAGCTGGGGTTGGGTGGTTTGCCTGAGCTCTCAGTTAGCAAAGGCTCAGAGCTGGTGCTCAAACCCACAGCGGTTTCATTCATATTAATAAATTATTTTTATTGTGGCAAAATATACATAAGTTAACATTTGTGATCTTATCCATTGTTAGTGTATGGGTCAGTAGCATTACATGCATTTACATTATTGTGCAACCATCACTACCATCCATCTCCCGTTCATTCAATTGTGATGTGTTTCCTCACAGCACAGAAAACAGGAAAGCAAAGCTGAGAATAGGGTCTAAAAATTCAGCAGGGAGCACGCTAACAGGTTCTGCTTCTCTTAGTGGGGCAGAGAAGGCTCTGGAGACGTGCTCTGGGCCAATATCATGATTCACTTATGAAATCTACTTGGGTAGGGGATGTAAGGTGCATGAAAAATCTCTACTGCAGCCACCGATTTTGCTCAGAGACACCACCCTCTGGCACTTAAAGGTAATGCAACAACATAGCAGTTAAAAAAAAATCCCTTTTTTAAAAAAAGTTCATATTTGCCTCAGTAGAGGAATTTGGAGATTTTATTAAATCTTGACTGAAATGGAAAATCTGTAGGTTATACACCTATACCTATCCATCTACATCTTCACCTATACATCTCTACCTATATCTCTAGCCCTCCCATTGCCTGAGGGCATTTACTGATAGCAAAGACTGTGCACATGGGACTTAAGGATGTATTCAAGACACTTGAATAGAACTTGTTTAGGCCAGATGATAATTTGATACAAGTTTGGTACTGAGATGAACATTGGGATAAACCAAAGAACATGATGGTTTGATAGTCATAAAACGAAGGAGAAACGTCTACACTAGCTTAATTAACTTAACTCTGAGACCAGATGGGGTCCCTTGGCTCCTGATATTTCTGACAGTTACAGTAAAAGCCCATCTTGCTGCTCTTCAGATGGACCCTCGCAGCTGTGCGGTGCTGAAGATGCAGGCCTGGGAGGTTGGGGGGTGCCAAAGGCTTCCACGGGAGTTCTCTGCTCTTCCCGTGGGTATCCGTGGTGGTACTATCTGTCACAAGGGAGGGGTTGACAACTACACCTGGTCTCAGAGGCTGTATCAGGGATGCCATAACAAATACCACAGACTGGAGGCTTTATCAACAGAAATGTATTTTCTCACAGTCTGGGACTAGAAGTCCGAGGTCAAGTTGGCAGGGTTGCTTTCTTGTGAGGCCTCTCTCCTTAGTGTGCACATGGCCATCTTCTCCCTGTGTCCTCACGGTGTCATTCCTCTGTGTGTGTCTGTGTTCTAATCTCCTCTTCTTTTTTTTTATTTAAAAAAATATATTTTATTGATTTTTTTACAGAGAGGAAGGTAGAGGGATAGAGAGTTGAAAACATCAGATGAGAGAGAAACATCGATCAGCTGCCTCCTGCACACCCCCACTGGGAATGTGCCCGAAACCAAGGTACATGCCCTTGACTGGAATTGAACCTGGGACCCTTTAGTCCCCAGGCCGACGCTCTATCCACTGAGCCAAACCGGTTAGAGCCTAATCTCCTCTTATAAGGTCACCAGTCATATCAGACCAGGGCCTACCTCAGTGATCTCATTTTAACTGGGTGACCTCTACAAAGACCTGTCTCTAAATGCAGTCACATTCTGAGGTCATGAGGGTCAGGATTAAACCATATTAATTGTGTGTGTGTGTGGGGGGGTGGGCGTTGGCACAATTCAGCCCCTAATGGGCTGGATCCAGTCTTATGGGGGAGGCAGCAAGGCTGAGCCCTGGTCACAGGAAGTGTACAGGAGTTGCTCAGAAGCACTGGTTTCCCCAAGACTTCACAGGGCTGCACCCGCCTGAAGACTGCCCTCCACACCACCAAACTCTCCACTTCCTGCTACACGTCCCTTTCAGTGTGTGTGTAACCCTCCCGTCTAATAAAGTCTGAGGCCCCCAGTCTGGTGCTCAGGGCCCTTCCATTCTATTCTGCAGTGCCATGACACCCCTCCAGTCCCAGCTCAGAGGCGTCCCGACACTGACCCTCTGCTTCCATCCCCAAGCCAGCCTCCTTGTCCTCTGGATCGCTTTCTCTAGGCATATTTTAGACCAAAGGTGAAATTGTATGCCTTGTTTTGCAACCTATTCTAATCTTTCCCTGGGAATACAGCTTTAAATCAAGATTAATTTAATGTCTCTACAGTACTCCATCCAATGAAGGCATCATTCTCCTCCTGGTTCTCTCACTTCCCCCTCCATGCTCCTTCTGCCACCTGCTTCCTTCTGCCCTCGGAAGGTCACTGCTCCGTCACCTTCCACAAGGGCATCCCTTCAGTATGCATTCTGTTCTTCAGTCTCTATAGTTTTCTAGCTTTCTAGCCCTTTCCAGCTCTTCCTTTTTTGGGGGGTGGGGGTGGGGGAAGGGGTGGTTTCAAACTAGATTTTAGGTTCCCGTTTACAATTCCATTTTTCTGAAAATATCTGTAAGGATGTTGTGTAGACTGCAGGCTTAGGAAAGAGAGCACCGATCCATTGGCAAGGTTGGAAGTCGTGGGGGTAGGGGAGGTTTCAGTCCTGGGATCCACATTAAGGGCAATTTTGAGGTTTCACTTTTTCTCTCTTTTGTTTTTTAATCTGATTCTCTTTAGCTTTTTTAGTTTCTGGCTAGATCTCTTCTGACATGGGTTTTTATTCAGGTCAAACACCTGTTATTTCCAATTTTCCACAGTTTCCACCCTTCCCTATTGCCTTATAATCTGTTTGTTTTCATTACCTGTTGGCCCTTGGTGTCATTTATATCTGAAGCTCCGCAAGTGTCACACTCACCATTATAATGTGACCCTGTTTTTACATTCTTTGTTTCTTTTTGACAAAGGGCTTTTCTCCCCAAATTAAATATACCACTATAATTAATTGCATCTTATCTATCCATTTAGATTTTGCCTAAATCCCTCTGCCTTTACAAAATTTCCCCTTGACACTCATTATGTTTAATCTCCAAGCCCTTTGCATTTGTTTGCACTGTATAAGCAATTTTCAGATATGCTATCTTATTTCTACTTGTCTATAGCATAGATTTCATATATTAAGACATAATAGAAGTTATCACCAACATCCAAGGAGCATTGACTATAATAAAACTGCTTCAATGATGATGGTGGTGCATCAGTTAAATAAAATGACTACAAGTCGCCCACTGGCCATCATTACTTCGTTTCTCTTGTGGAGTTTTCACAAAGACAAAGTGTAGTTTCTTGGAGGCATGGAAATTACTCCAAATTAATAAAGCTAGCTTCACCGAGCCTTCATGCCGCCCCCACCACCCCTGCCTAGCTAGCCTAATGCTGAATATTTGGTGGTGTGGAGAAAGTGAACAAAATCTGCAAAATCAAACA